AAAAAGGATACATTCATATATTTCAAACAAGAAAATAATATTTCAAACATAATATATAAATAAATATAAATATAAATATATTATATATACACACGAATGTATTATCCGATAAGAGAGAATGTTTTATTTCTAAAAGTGTATTTTCCACTTTTCATTTTTATTTATTTTTCTTTAGTCCTTTACGAAATATTATACAGTTCTTTAATTATCATATTACATAGAAAGTTATAATTATAAAGTTCTCGTAATATATATTTGTGCATTATAAAAATAGAATAAGATACTTTCTACCCGGGTCGTGTCTAAAACAAAAAAAAAAAACAAAAAAAAAGACAAAAACAAAAAAAAAAGAAAGAAAATAAAATTAAAAAAGAGAAAAGAAAAAGAATAACACGTTCACGTTCACCCGGTGATCGTAATTAACGACACCTACGTGGTAACATCGTTACGTTCATCCACTTTAAAAGATAATGTTTGCAGGCACACGAGTTTGTTCGTCCCATTTGTTAAATATCGAATCTACGAAGAGAAAGAAAGTCAGTAGACTATGACAAACGATCGTTAACGACTTGCCATAATTTTCTTTTTTATTTTATTTTATTTTTTTATTTTTATTTTATCAGATAGGCCAATGAGTCACGCGTTTGTTCGAAATTATTTAATACTTCATATCTATAATATATAAATAACACGTTATTATATATTTCTTATTGTAAACGTTTGATATTTAAACACTGTATAAGTGTTTTGTATTTAAGAACAAAAATTATAAAGACAAATAATATCTAATTATTAATATTTCAATATTTTTATTTGAAATTTTAAATATATATATCAAAATTATAGTATTATTTATTTGTTTTTATATATTTAAATTTTTTTTGTTTATAATTTTTCTAAATACGTTTCCACAAAATAATTTTCGATCGTCATTAATTCTCGTCTCGTTAAACGTTTCCATCATAGAAATCATTGGAAATAAATGTATTAACCATAGCTGGCTAGTTCTATGTGAATTTTCATTGAAATCAACTAGGGAGATATCTATTTAGTTTCACATTATTATTAATATTAATAGCGTAACAATTATTCATCGCACAATGCACCAAGCTTTTTCATTGTTCAATTATATTAATCGCTTATATCTGTGTTAAATGGTATCCCGTTTTGTATGCTATGCACGTTTATGGATACATTTTTCAATCTAACGCGTTCACCGTGTGTCATTAAACATTTTCTTTTATTTAAATTAAAATAACGATCAAAATATCTAAATGATATTTGTTATTGTCGTTTTTAAATGTATATAAATATTCTATCATATTATAATCACTCTCAGAAAAAAATGCGTTGAACGTTTAGTACAAAATCTGTGTCCTCGATTATTTAACGTTAATATTCTTCTCTTCTAATAATAAAAAAAAAACGTATATTTTTCCACATACGAATGTGTGTAACTTTTATAATATATTAAAAAAAGTATAATTAATTATAGTAATCAACACATATTCTCAGAGATTACGTTCAACGTGTTATAAATTATTATATAATGTTTATCAAATTATTAGAATAAAATTTAATGAATTTATTTATTTAATATATTATATTGTGTGTATAATATAAAATGTTGATATGATTAATAATGTTAGTTAACATATTAATTCGTTAATATTCGAAGGAAATCTAGTTTATCGAACTCTCAATTAATATGATCTCTCAGGTATACTACAGAATATTCCGTGCAGCACGTAAGATAGTTCTCGAGGAGAGAAGAGCTCAAAGCCACTTGGAAACCCAGTATTATCTCGATATCGAACCACCTGTACAGCATCAGACGACACCTGCAATAAATCGTCAATTTAATTCGTCGGAGTTACCGACGAATCATGGAAGTCCACTAATCAAACAACACAGAAGTTCCAGTGCTTCCACAACGGTAAGCGATCATATTTTATTAAACTATAACAAATGTGTGTAAGAAAAAAATAAAACACGCATACACACGTACAGAGAGAGACACTTAAACGTTGCATGTGCAATATTGCATCGATATATTATTTTTAATCAATTTTTGTTTTATTTCTATCTATTTCATTGTCGTATAATTATTAATTATTATATATTGAACATACAAGATAATATCTGAAACCAAATTTTTTCATATTTTAAAAAGCTAAATTCTTTATTATAAATTTATTTGAATTTTATTTTGTAATTATTATTATAAGAATTAATATTTCTTTTCTTAATGCAATAATACTACTAATACTACTAATAACTAATTAGTATTTATTTTTGTCAATTAAATTAAATGTTTCGTAGTAATAATATTACAAATAAGAATTTTATAAAAAATGAACAACTCTTCGTTGAAATGTTTTTGAAAACTTTTGAAAATGAGTATCTCGATAATTAATTCAAACAATTGATTTAAGATCTTTTTAATACTTAAATAATTAAAGATAGAGAGTAAGGGGGAGGTGCAAAGAAGAAAAAATTTATTACGAATGATATATATATATATATATATTAAGACATGTAAGGGTTCACAATTTATCGGGTGCTCTCTCTCTCTCTCTCTCTCTCTCATTCTCACTCTTTCTTCCCGTTGAAGAGCATGTGAAGAATTTTATTCTCGATTCTCGGATAGTTACGACCCACTTTTCGAAAAGGAAGAAAATTCCTAGCACGCGCTTCATGCGAAAATGTAATACTATTAGGTAGTAGTAAAAGTAGTATCCTAGCATACATATTCACCTGACACGTATCACCTACTAATTATTCACATATGACATATATATTCCAGGCATTGTATAGATTGCCCAAAGTATTATATTTGAGGGTCAATCTATAAAATGTATTTCAATTGGGTGTGTTTAAAACACTGGGAAGGGGAAGGGTGGGGCCCTGAAATAATCTTAATCATTTTTTCAAGTAAAACAAATCACGAAAAGGTGTGTGTGTTCGTATAAAGTTACGAAATATGATATTCACTTCTCTGTGTGTGTATTTTACAAAAAATTATTATACTTATCTGACGTGTTACTGCAAAAAGAACTGATAAACAAACTGATTTCTACAAATCAAGTTGAAATACCATAATTATTAATGTGTTTGTTATAATAAATAATATTCTAATGCCTTTCGTGATGATTTGTTTTATTTGTTCCGATAATTTGAGATTTTTGTTTTGTAGTTTCCATAAAACACACCAATCCTTCTTTTGCTATGTGTTTTAAACACACCACCACACACACTCGAACGATTTCGTAGGTTCAATCTTTTTTAAAAGATAATTCTTTTTTCAGCAATGTTCGTATATCTTCGATGTAATATTTATGAGAACACTGTGAAAAATTGCAACTTGCTTCCTGTTGGTCCTTACCGAAGTAGATCATTCTTAACTGTTACTACCCTTTAAAGCTTGGCTTAAAGAAGAAGCTGAATTTTCGTAGTTTTTTCTTTCTTTTCCTTTTTCCTTTTTTTTTTTTGCTGACGTGTACCTTTTTCTCGTTGCATAAATAATACTAGTTTACTTATGCTTTTGTCTAACTACAAAAAATAATAGAAATTTATCGTACAACTTGATGATGTATATCTGTGTGTGTGTGTGTGTTTATGTGTGTGTTTAAAATGATAAGATATTTGAGATCAAGTATAGTTCGTTGAAAAGTAAACTATATTTCAAAAGTTAGACTAAAGTGCATCAAGCGTATTACGAAAACATGAAAGACCACTTGAGAAAGTAACAATTGCAACATCATCATGACTTTCCGTTGTATGTCCAACTTTTCACGAACTTCGAGTAGTCAGATGAACTTCGAAGAAAAGGAAAATTCGAAGAGACATGATAAAAAAAAACACGAAATTTTGCTTAACTTTTTACGGGTCCAGCGTGAATGAAAAACATCCTTTCGAGATAAAAATGAAACTACCGCGTACCATTACTTCCTAAACTCGTCAGATAAATATTGTTTAGTATATTTCGTAAAGTTTTTTTTAAGTTTACATCTAACAAATTTTCTTTTCGATTTTTCTATTTAAAATATACACGTTCTCCGGCAACACTTGCGTAAAGTTTCTTGTTTTTCTTTTTATTTTTTTTTTCAAATTTTTTTTCTTACGTACTAAATCATACAGAAATCAAGAAAGATATTTTTTTTTTAAAGAATATAAAACAAAATGATTTCGTTAAAGGGAAGCAGAAATAAATTAGGAAAAAGAAAATGCACACGTTTGGTCAGGACTTTTTCTTTTTCAAAACTTTTGAAATAATTGACCTTTCTTTTTATTTTTATATATAATCCTAACATTGCAAATTTACATATATTTATATATATTTTAATAATATGTTAACTTACAAAAAAAAAAAAAAAAGAAAATTATAGAATAAAAAAATTGATCGAGTTTTCTCAATAGAAATATTTCACTATTGCAATTTTCGACCCAGTTTGTATATACGTAAAATTCGAATTCGCATTCTCTTGAAGAGAAACGATGAGGGTATTAAAAAAAAAAAAGGGGAGGAAAAAAAAAAGGAAAAGGATTGTCGAGAGTAAATGCACGTTATCTTCTACGTTACGATAAATTCTTGGTCTTGCATCGTAGGTGGATTATTATATGGGTCAGAGAAAGAAAGAAAAAAAAAAACAGAAAAAGAAAGAACTGTCGTGGCGAATGAGGAACACGTTGGATTTCATATTTTTTACTGGAAAAAAATTCAAATATCAAAGAGCCCTTTAAAAACGAGTCTCCGATATTTGTGATAAATATTTTTAAGAATGCATTCTCATGAGTTTTTCTCTTTTTCAATCCATTCTTTTGTTTGTTTGTTTAATATATTACAAAATTATAGATTTATTTTTACGTAATTATATCATTTGTTTGTGTGCAATCGTATAGAATGATA